ATTGGTCAATTGACGGTCCTGCCCTTCCGTAAAGCTCTCAGAGGTTTGGAAATTCATATCCCTGAAAATTCAACTCATGTCTTGCTAGAGGTTGTCAACCCGACCCTGATCCGGTGAGAAAAACGGGCCGCACGCACCCGCCGGGTCGATCGCTACAAGGTATCGGGTTGGAGGTCAAATTATGTCATTTTTTTCTTTGGTTTGTGAAATATGCCTATTTTCTGATTTTTCTTTTCGCCTAACTCAATCTTTGGAATCCTAAGTTGAACATTTGAATATTGATGTTATATAAGTGTGTGAATTTTCACTATATGTTGGATCTAAGTACGATATGTTATTTTGGTGTAATATTATCTGTTATAACTCATATGTTAGATAAGATTTGACATAATTTATAAAGATAAATACAATATAAAGACTCTTTCTATATTGTCGGGTCAAACCGAGCTAAAGCGGTTGACCCATTAACCCTTGACCCACTAGTTCTACCGGGTCCGGGTCAACCCGCGGGTTGACAACCTTGCTTGCTACTCTTGCCTTGAATGTTTTGCATTTATATATTTTGTTGAAAAGGAGAATAATAAAAGGAATTTTTAATTTATTTATTTTTACTAACTGGGCCTGTCGATTTAATCTATGGGCTGTGGAGCTGCCCACGAACTTATTGCGGTCTACACGAATAACCGCTTCATGGCCCTATTGGTGCTGTTCTTGGACCGATTTAGCCGCCGGTGAAAAGCCGGGTAGTTTATCACCGCCGCCGGGAAGAACAAAAGTATACGACGAAACGATTGGATAATGAAGCTTACACGTAAAACTTCCATTTTCATGGCTCGTGTTTAATCTCCAAAGTTTTCTGGGTAGTCAAAGAAAAATCAAGGCTGCAATTCTCGTTTCAGACTTGTAGTTAAGCCCTCGTTTCCCCTGCGTCCACGCCAGCAAAACTCCAACCCTCTACTCTCTTCTTCCACCTTTTTTCGAAGAGATATCACGTATAAAGGGGATAATATATATACGGAGAAGAAGAGAACTCGAGGAAACCCACTCTACTCGAAGCTCAACAATGGCGTCGGCCAAACCTCTTCTCTCTTCCACCTTGTTCGGCAGAACCCAGATCCTAATTTCTACCCCAACTCCCAAAACGGCCAAATCGCCACTCTATATCCCCCCAAAATCTCGACCTTGCCGTGCCATCTTCACCAATTCCGATTCCTTCAAATCCCTCTCTTCCCGGGCTACACTCGCTGCTCTCCTCTTCTCATCTTCATTAACCCCTCAAGCTTTCGCTGTGGACTCTCCTCCGCCTCCGACGAATCCGGTACTCGAAGCTCAACCAAGCAAACAACCCTCTTCTCCGAATTCCCCCTTTTCCCAAAACCTGCTTCTTACTGCTCCGAAGCCGCAATCCCAATCGGTCGCCTCCGACCTTCCAGAGGGAAGCCAATGGCGGTACAGCGAGTTTCTGAACGCGGTGAAGAAGGGGAAAGTGGAGCGGGTTCGGTTCAGCAAAGACGGGTCTGCCCTCCAGCTGACCGCCGTCGATGGCCGCCGCGCTGCCGTCATCGTCCCAGCCGATCCTGACCTAATCGACATTCTAGCAATGAACGGCGTCGATATCTCGGTATCCGAGGGCGATTCAGGAAACGGGCTGTTCAGTTTCATCGGGAATCTCATCTTCCCATTCCTCGCCTTCGCTGGATTGTTCTTCCTCTTCCGCCGAGCGCAAGGCGGGCCGGGTGGACCCGGCGGGTTGGGCGGCCCGATGGACTTTGGCCGGTCGAAGTCCAAGTTCCAGGAAGTTCCCGAAACCGGAGTCACGTTCGCTGACGTGGCCGGCGCCGATCAAGCTAAATTGGAGCTCCAAGAGGTCGTGGATTTTCTTAAGAACCCTGATAAGTACACTGCTCTTGGAGCTAAGATCCCCAAAGGGTGTCTCTTAGTCGGGCCTCCTGGTACAGGGAAAACACTACTGGCCAGAGCAGTAGCCGGAGAAGCAGGAACTCCGTTCTTCTCCTGCGCTGCTTCCGAGTTCGTTGAGCTGTTCGTGGGAGTTGGAGCTTCCAGAGTGAGGGATTTGTTCGAGAAGGCGAAGGCGAAAGCCCCTTGCATTGTGTTTATTGATGAGATTGACGCTGTGGGAAGGCAGAGGGGAGCAGGAATGGGTGGTGGAAATGATGAAAGAGAGCAAACTATTAATCAGTTGCTTACTGAAATGGATGGGTTTTCAGGGAATTCGGGTGTGATAGTTTTGGCTGCTACGAATAGGCCGGATGTTCTTGATTCAGCATTGTTGAGGCCAGGAAGGTTTGATCGACAGGTGACTGTTGATAGGCCTGATGTTGCTGGCAGAGTGAAGATTCTTCAGGTTAGTTTTGGTTTTCTGTGAATTTGACCTAACTTGATTTGCAGGGAAATGAATTAGATGATAGGAAGATCAATGCATTCGTAGGGTCGAATTTAGATTGTTTTGAGGACATTGGATTTTGTATGCAGTTGGCAATGGTGAATTTCATTGACGTTTAGTATATTGCTGTGATCTAGAGGGAAGATTTGAAGGGAGATTTAGTAGGTCATAGGAAGCTGAATTCTTAAGATTACTTCATTGACATATATGATTTAATATACCATCGACAATGGTATTGTAGGTGCATTCGAGAGGGAAGGCACTTGCTAAAGATGTGGACTTTGAGAAGATGGCACGGCGAACACCTGGTTTCACCGGTGCCGATCTGCAGAATCTTATGAACGAGGCAGCCATTCTTGCAGCCAGGCGTGATCTTAAGGAAATAAGCAAAGACGAGATATCCGATGCTTTGGAGAGGATTATAGCTGGACCAGAGAAGAAAAATGCTGTGGTCTCGGAAGAGAAGAAGAAGTTAGTCGCATATCATGGTATAAAATGGACCTCAATATCATTCAGCTTATCAAATTTCCCTTGCTAATTTGGTAAACTGTAATGCTGAGATTAGGCCTTTTGTTTTACAGAGGCTGGACATGCCTTGGTTGGTGCTCTAATGCCCGAGTATGATCCAGTGGCCAAGATCTCGATCATCCCACGTGGACAAGCTGGTGGGCTTACATTCTTCGCTCCAAGTGAGGAGCGTCTGGAATCTGGACTATACAGCAGAAGCTATTTGGAGAATCAGATGGCCGTGGCACTCGGAGGAAGGTAGTATTTCATTCTGACCTTCGCGGATTATGTTTTATTGTGCTCAAGGTGGTATGCTGACGACGGTTTGTACTTCGGTTGTGAATCAAGGGTTGCTGAAGAGGTGATTTTTGGGAAAGAGAATGTGACTACGGGAGCATCAAATGACTTCATGCAAGTATCGAGGGTGGCAAGGCAGATGGTTGAGAGATTCGGGTTCAGTAAGAAAATCGGGCAAGTGGCCATTGGTGGAGCCGGTGGAAATCCCTTCTTAGGGCAGCAGGTTGGTTGGTTAGATAGATTTGCAACATCATCAATCTTTGTTTGTGCATACTATTAGCTGCATTGCTTGATAAGGACTAGTATCTGAGGATTCGGATTAGGAAATTCGTTTAACCAAACTACTATAACAACTATTTGTAAATATCAACCAAAACCAGAACTCATTTCCCCACCTTCCGATCACAATGTTCGATTTTGCAGATGGCGTCACAGAAAGACTACTCGATGGCCACTGCCGACGTGGTGGACGCAGAGGTTAGAGAGCTGGTGGAGACGGCCTACGCTAGGGCGAAGGAGATCATGACAACACACATCGACATCCTACACAAGCTGGCTCAGCTGCTCATTGAAAAAGAAACTGTGGATGGGGAAGAGTTCATGAGCCTGTTCATCGATGGAAAAGCTGAGCTCTATGTTTCTTGATTGATTAAGCTAGACGGTTTTTTGTTACTTTTGGAAAATGTATTGTATTGTTAACACACGTGTACATGTAAAACGAAAAGTTCTGGCCTTTCCCCTGTTTATGGAGAGGATGTAGTGATAAGGAGAGATACTCGGAACTACTTTGCCACTTCTCCCACATTGTTACTGTTAACATTCTGTTGTTTTGTTCCTTAGTTCCCGTTAGTGGGGAATCATATTTCCATAGGAATAGCTTTTTGTTGAGTTCTCTTTGTATATATATCCATCAATAATACAATTACAAATCAGGTATTTCTGAGACAATTACATGATATCACAGCTTTAAAGAACTCAAACGAGTTAGCTACATACCTCTTCTTCTTCCTCTTTTTCTATTCTCTGCTTCCTCTTCCCATGGCTACTTCTTCCACTATGATAGAAACCCGCTTATTTGGATTTCTAACGAGTTACGTAACCGGTAATTTAGAAAGGGGATTTAAGGATTGAGAATAGAAATGAGGGATTAGGAGAAGAATTGGGGATTTGGGGAAGAACGGCCGAGGCCTTTGATGAAGAAAGACAGACGAGGTTGAGAGAGAACAGAATAGGGTTTTGGCTTTTGGGAGATAATTGTTTTACTGATTTCTGCTTAATCGAACAAAAGACCTCTAATACATATTTATAGCTAAATATTGGAAAAACCTAATAGACTATCCTAATGACTCAATGACTATTAACCTTATCTAATAATAAATCCTAATAATAATTATTATAACAATTATAATAAAACCCGCAAATTGGGTTTTCACCATCCCCTCCCCCTTGTGACCAACCTTGCCCTCAAGGTTGACCGACTCGACCCATTTCTTCACATCGCCCGTGTAGACCGCCGCGCCTTGTCTCCTCCACTCCTCGCGCTTCCTTTTCTTCCAATCATGCTCCAATTCCGAGACAATTACATGTAGTAGGCACTAGGCAGTGGATCTATGTATAAAATGTTACTTGAAGAGGTGGGTAGCTGATCCCTTGAAGGAGAAATTTCTTCCATTGACAAATAAAAGTGACCCTGGTGACAATTGAATCCGTACCAGTTTTATAAGTAAATTTTGACGAAAGATGTTTAACGGGACAAGAAAATTTTTAATAGACTGGTATTTCAAGTACGTTTCCACAAAACAATTTTATTCGGACAAGAAAATTTTGATAAAATTCAGAAACAACTAACAAGAGATTATTGATAACTTGTTAAATAAGAAAAATGAAGAACAGCAAGTGTAACCCCAAGAATCATATTCTCAGCCCTTCTCTCCCGCTCTATATTTTACAATTCTGAACATTGAAATCACTTCCACCCTTTCCCTCCCAAAAATAAAAACATTTGGCCATTTACACACTTTGAACACCCCCTCCATTACAAGGCTACAACAACCACCCAATAAACAACAGAGAGTTACCCAACCACAGGTCCAAAGACCCCAAATCCTAAACCAAAATGTAATTTACACAGTTCTACAATCATCAACCCACCACAACACACAATCATGTCCCATCCATCCTCAAGATCATTTGCGTTGTCTCTTCTCCTCCAGAGTAGCTGCCTCGTTCAACATGTCCGCTGCGTCCTTGTGCATATTCAGCTTAGCCAGTGCTACAGCCTGCATGTAGAACGCAGTTGACCAGTCCGGGTACACGCATTGCGCTTGCATCGCGTCGCGTAGGGCTGCGTCGGGTTGGTCGCAGAGCAGGTAGCAGAGACTCCGCCGTGCGTACACCGTTGGGGAAACCATTGTTCCCACGTCTGCAAACTGCAACGAAAAGAGAACAAATTTCACGGATAGACTCGTAATGAAATTCCCACTAGTTTATAGATTTCAAAGGCTCCGTTTGTTTCAACTACTAGTCACCTACCGAACATTAAGTAGCCAACTTCTCCAATCAAACACAAATGCTTCAAATTATGTAACTTCTGAAAGTTACTTCTTCAGAATTTCTTGTCTAAGTTACTTCTCAGCTCTAAAACAAACGTGCTTCAACTTCTCCTACTGAACACTAAAAAGTCAACTTCTACTGATCTACTGGTTCAAACAAACAGTATATTTCTTTTTTCCTTTCTTACAGAGACGACATTCCTTAGCAGCAAGCAATTTTAGATGAACTCGGCCTACAATGGGAACAACTGGCGCACCTGAGAGTAGCAGTCTATAGCAGCTTTGAATTCCTTATCACGAAATGCAACATCTCCTCGCTTTCTAGCTTCCAACATGTCTCTCATTTGTTGCGTCCATTCCTGGAAAGACAACTGCATAGAAACACATATCTTAGCCCTTTCCTGCAGCAACAAAGTATCAACACAACAACATTGTTTTCCCCTGCAATTGCTCACCTCATTGGTTCCTTCATCGTCCTTGTAGTGCGTCATTACCAATATCTGATGTATAGCCGTCAGGTCCATTCGCGAGCAGGCATCACCCATGGGAGAAAGAGGATGCTGAGGTGTCGGTGGTGCTTGTTCTTGCTTCGATATTCCCAGCATGACGTGAGAAGGAACCTGTATAAATGAACTTATTAGCTCAAGAACTCTCATAACCTGTGATAGCTACTGAAAAAAATTCCACGCTAGGATAGCAGGACAACTATTAGCTAAATTTCCACCAGTTGATGAAGCCCTCAGCAAAAGAGAAAGGCTACCTATCTTGGATTTTCTAGGATTAAGACGGTGAAAAGGATCATGAAATTGAGAAGATATGTCTTACATCAGACTTATTCTGCAGAGGGGAAAGTGTCTCAACGAGATCTTTGCTGTTTGGCCGCTCTCTAGGCTCGTATTGTAAGCATCGTGAGGCTAGATCAAAGACTACAGTTGCCTCCTCGGTAGAAAAGTTCCCTTCCAGATGTGAATCCATTAAGAGAAGGATGTTTCTGCCCCGTATCATATCAAGAGCCTGCATATGCTCTTAGATTCTTAGGACCAAAACACGCAGGAACGAATATATATCAAAACGTTAAGCTCCATGGAATGAATTGGGATGACAGAGCACATATAGATATTCAATTAAGAAGTGAACTTACATGACTAGGAGGAATATGCTTTCCACTGAGAAGGTCTAAAAGCACAGTACCAAAGCTGAAGACAACACTCTCTGGGGTGACTCTACCTACATCATTGTGAAGATTATATCATCAAATATCTAGAATATTTCTCATTCAAATAAAGAACTTACAGAGATCACAAGCTGGCGGAAAATAAAGGCAATTAGTTAAGTTCGTGGGAAGTACATAGAAATCAGAATATCAGGAATGACTTAATACTGCCAAGGTTTTCCCCCATAAAGCAATGAACTTACCATTCTTCAAATACTCAGGGGGTGTGTAAGCAAGGTTGGTGCTGTAGCTTTTCCCATCCCTACTATTTTTCATCAGTCCGAAACAGGATAGTCGGGGATCTCCATTCTGCCAAAAAAGTACGCATCCTTAATTTTTACAAAAAGTTGCGCAAAGGTATGAGCAGTCATGGAAATCAAGCTCATGGGAGAGGCAAGTCTTCAAAGTTACCTCATCAAACAGAACCCTATAAGCGTTCAAGTCATGGTACAGCGGACGACCTTCAGCACTACAATAATTTAAAGCTTCTGCCATGTACAAAGCAACTCTCAAGCGCAGAGCCCACTCAATGGTTTGATTTTCCCCTGATGGTGTAAAGCAAAGCGAAATGAGATCCTAATCACACATGCAAAACATGAAGTAATTCATCCCAACAACAGTGAAGCCAATTAACTAACTGGGACTGATTTTGACGACTTCAATTGACATAAGAGATAAGACACATTGATAAAGAACCAAGCAATAAGCTGCATAGAAAACAATCCAATCTGGTTTAGCTTTACATAGCAACCTTCTTCCACACATAACCTCGCTACTTTAATTTCCCACATAAGCATAAAACCAATAAATGCAAATGACTCCAACCAGGGACCATTACATACATAGGCCACGAATTCCAGTCAGCAAACACAACCCTCATCAGAATCGATATTTATAGCACCGATAAAATCATATGAAATCCTTCAGTGATGTTAGCATAAATTAGCAACTCTAATCTAAGATTGTGATTCCTCATTGGAGCAATCAATAGGGCCAAACTAAGAAAAGCAACCACTGTTATTTCTTAAAAGAACCTACTTTACCTCATTACCCAATATACACAATGTAGACTCCCCAAATACAGCTAACGTTTCAACTTATGCAATCAAAAAGGAGCAAAAGCTCACGAAGTTGCCATTAATGGAAGAACTCACAGTGGAACAAGTGCTTAGCTAGAGTATCATTGGGCATGTATTCAGCGACAAGTAGCCTCTCGTCGCCATCGCAGCAGTAACCAATCAAATTAGCCAGCCTCTTGTGCCTCAATTTCCCAACTCCCCACGCCTCATCCTTTTGAACAAAAAAATCAAGCCAGCAGTCAACAACGGCAAAAAACTAATAAAACCCTAAATCACAGAAATGGAAAGGAGAGGAAAGACCCATTTACAGCAAACTGCTTGGGATCAGGCCAGGCGACTTTAGTGAATTTCTTGACGGCGATCCAGCCCCGATCGCTATTCTTCTTATCGTCATTAGTACCACTACTGCCGTTGTTCCCCAAACGTCCCTTGTACACTACATTCGGAGCCTTCTCCCCGCTCTCAGAGACGATGAAATCGGCGCTGAAGTTGTTGGTCGCCGCTTTCAAGTCGGCGAGCGAGAACTCGGTGAACGCCGGGACACCTCCGGCGGTGGCGGAGGGGGAAGCGGCGCCGTTGGTCGGCTGGCGGTGGTGGGTCTGGTTGCTGCCGTGGACGCTGGGTTTGACGTCGGAAGAGCTCGGCGGCTTGGTCAAGCAGGATTCGCAGCACCCCATAAATAAAGACTGGAGTCGAGAGAGATTGAGGGAGTTTTTGACTCGGGGCGGCGGGAAAATCTCCTTGCTTTCCGGTTTCCGGGTTTCAAGGAAGAACCATAGCCATAAAAAGTGAGCTGAGGAAAAGCGGCTTTGAGCTTTGGGTTGGCTTCCGATTTCTCTGAACCCAAAAAGGTTTCCAGAGAAAGCGAGAGAGATCTGGAGGAGATAGTGGGAACTGGGAAGAGGGATGAAGATGCTCTGGCCGCCTGCGCTGCTACTTGCTGGGGTTTTTTTTTTTTTTCGGGTTGGGTTGGGAGGAGAGAGGAGAAGGGGGGAAATGGAGGCGGTATTTGGCTTGGTGCTAATGGTTATGGTGGTAAGGTAAGCTTCAAAGCTCGACGGCCTCCGTCTCTCTCTCTCTCTGTGTTGGTGTTTTGGGTTTGTCGGGTTAATTAGTGGGACCGATTACGGTAATGCAATGTGGTTAAGGAAAAGAAAAATATGTGATTAGAGTATGAAAAACCATATGGTTAAGAGAGAATATGATGCGGTTAAGAAAGAAAGCTAATGAAGTATAGATATGAGTAGGTTCTCTACTCCAAGAAAAGTCAAGAAAAAAAACTAGATATAAATCGATAATTCGAACAATATTTAATTCAACTAAAGAAGGTTAAAGATGCTTACTTTTGAGAAGATCAACAAAGTATAGATGTTAGTGCCTCTTCGATGAGTATTAAGAAAGAAGCGAAGAGTTTTGTGACGGTTCATCAATAGCAATGAATATTATTGTTATTCTTTTCAATCGTTCAAATTTTTTCTTATTGTGAAACGGATAATGAATTTTTACGAGAATCTATAAATCTATCAATAGATTGTAATTAAAAATCAATACTTTTTCTAACAATTATTGAGTCATCATCAAGTCACTCGCATGTAGATGAGGTGTGCCTATGTGCAAAACATCCAAACACAATATGCTTAGACAGACGCTACACCGATGGTATTAATGGCATGTGTATTGATCATCTCGACCTTCAGCTTGATGAACGTGCATTGAGCTTGAGGCAGGCCACATGAGAGAAGAGGATGTCCCTCATTATCGCTTGTGGGTTTATAAAGAAGAGGCAATTACAGCTTAATGGAGACGACAAAATGGATGTCCCTCATTATCGCTTGTGAAATTGGAGAAAGAAAAAAATAATTTCTGAAGGAGACGTAGCAATGCGAGGGAAAACAAATAATAGAAGTGGGTTTATAAAGAAGAGGCAATTACATAGTTGAACATATTGGGCTAAATAATTCTTCATGAGAGGAGGAATTTGAAAATGAAACGACATAACCAGTTGCGACCTTCATATGAATGAAATGATTCGCGCATTTTCTCTATACCAAACAGCCCTTAGCCATTGATTGTGTTATTATGTTACGAGAATATCCCAATAACAAAACCTTTCATATATGAAACAATCTTTCCACCAATTGTCATGTATGACAGAACCTTTCATATAACGTTTGAACTTGTCCTATATACTCCTTCCCCATTGGAGTTCTCCACGAAACCTCCAATGATTCCTTCTCAACCCCAACCATGAACCCCAAATTGATTGATTATACAATTACATGGGAACACGATTCGGTATACTTTTAGTATACAACCACAACATTACGAAGTCAACCTTAATTTCAATATAATCGCCATCATCATTCACCAAAGTGGTCTTATAACCAATCCCACATTTAAAAAAAAAAGTTTTGTTTTCGTTGCATTTTAAAAAAAAATTCGAACGTGTAACGACGTAAGTTGATTTCCTTAATCATATTCCTATGGTGCTGTTTTGGTGCGTATAAAATACTTTTTTTTTTTTTTTTTCGGTAATTATATAAAATACTTTTTAAGTTGATAATAAAATATTAGAACATCCTAACAAGAACTCAACCGAGGAAGACGGCAGACCTTGTGATAATAATTTTGTAAAGAGGTCTGTCAGTCGCCAAATGAAATGTCATCGGCCCACGTGTGGCCTGCGTAGGAGATATTAGTGCGGGGTGATGTGGCAATATGTGGCTTACAGCTGTTGGGCCCAGAAGCCCAAACTGAGGCCCATATGATAATATCCTGATTGTTTGGATTTCCTTGTAACTTCTGCTTTAAGTATGGTAGTTGTCGACTTACCACGTAGGGTTACTGTTGATGATCCTCCTTCACAGGTAAAGCAATTCGTCAATCATTAATGGAATTCTAATCCTTTCAGTTAGGGATGGCAACAAAACCCGAACCCACGGGTACCCACCCGACCCAACCCGGTCAACGCGGGTAAAATCCGTGTTGACGGGTTTTGGGCCGGGTTTGGGTTTAAACCCGTTCACTATTCACCGGGTTGGGTTGGGTTTGGGTTTAGGTAAACCCGGCCCGTGGGTACCCGCCCACTCATATAATTAATTTTTTCGGTATATTTAATATTCTAAACAACTAATCTTATTTATGTTTGTGGAGACATGTCTAATTTTTTCTTTTTAATTGTTTAGAATGAAGTTGATGTTATGGAGTGGAGAGTAAATAAACTTAATTGAAAGGAAGAAACTTTCAATTAAACATGTTATTTATGGATAATTTGTGATTTGCTTCAATTTTCTTGAGTTTTCTAGATTGGTGTTGAACAATTTGTATAGTTAATTTGTGATTTGCTTGAATTTTCTAGAATGGTGTTTTATATATGGATAAGTTGTATTGAGATATTGATATTTGACTTTAATTTTGATAAGAACTTGTAATTGTAAATTTTTTACGACAAAACCCGTGGGTACCCATGAACCCGCGGATACCCAACGGGTTGGGTTGGGTTTGAGTTTTTCAAACCCAGTGGGTTTTACCCCGGGTTTTTTTCAAAGATAAACCCATGGGTTTGAGTTTGGGTTTGGCAAAACCCGACCCAACCCGACCCATTGCCATCCCTACTTTCAGTCCTTGGCGTAGTGAAGCTTAAGCAACCGAGTCGATGGGAAGTTACTAACCAACGTTTTGATTGGAAGAAAGGTAAACAGAAGAGAAGCGCAAGCGGGCTCTGTTAATAAATGGGCTCACGATTCCGATGATGTGGTTTGGCTCATTTCAGTCATGAGATTCAGGCCAATTTGCTAGGCCCAATCTCAGGTCCACCGCCAGCCAGCCTACCAATCAAGACCAAAGGCAGACATGAATATCAATCATGGAGCGATTATATCAACCCCGAATATTGGGTATTGTTTGTTCGATGGTTATGACTTATGATACAAGTAGGATTACACAATCGATCGCGGGTACTCGTTCAGTTTGCCCCAGTTAATGCGGGGAAATCCTGCTTTGACCGGGTATGTGATGGGTATAGGTAAAACCCGCAAAACGTTTGATGGGTATGGGGTGGGGAGGCTAAAATCATACCTGGCTCATACCCACACCTATACTAGCCCCATTAGGATAACTTCTTCACATATAAAAAAATATATTGATTAAATTGTAACCTATCTATAATACTGAGGCTAACTCAAGAAAATATTTAGTAGAAATGTAATCGGGTGGCTACCCAAATCAAAACTTAATTCTTTTTCCTCAACCCTCCCTTCACTCTTTCATTGTTTCGATTGTTAACAAGATTATGTTAGTTAGTTATTACTTAGTATATCTTACTATATATTATGGTAGTTCAAAAGCAACTTCTTGCCACATAAGCATGTGGAGAATTCACAAGTTGCCAATGGACAATTTGTTTACAAACAAAAAAGTTAGTTAGTGTTCTATTTATGGAGCTATCTCTCTCTTTTCTTTTAATGATTTTTCGTTTACTCAATAATTTATTTTTGTTTTTTTTATATATATGTTTGTAGCAATAAACTAATGTTTGTAGAATGATATATATCGCATTTGTTTAAACAAAAATATCATATTAAACTTTATGAAGTGAATTTTCTACTCATTTAAACTTAATAATAAGTTAATTTTATTGAAAATTTAAAACAAGCGCTCGAATAATAATATTTTTTATCAATTAAACAAATATATAACGATGGAAACAGAGAAAATATTTGTAGTTTAATTGTTCAAATGATACAACATTTTTAATGCACCTAGATCTTTGTGCATTGTAGTTGTAGACATGCTTTCTTAATTATTAAGATATAATAAAATATTTTATTCCAGAACTAACACCAAAGATAAGTAAAATTTTGCAAATGCACATTTAAAAAGTTGGGAAATTATACACTAAAGGACAATGTTAATATGAGAACCTTGATAGTGTGTGAAAGTGTCTTGGTTTGAGATTTTAAGTCAACATGTAGACAACAATCATGACTGATGGTTAGTCCAAACTTCAAGAATTAGTAATTGGTACATATTGAGTAAATAAAATTTGATACCCAAACCTTTTAAAATACAAAAGATATTCAAAGATTTTGTATCACATCAAAATATTAACCATTTGACTGTTATCTTTAAAAATTTTGTAACTCTTCTCTTAATTAAAATTCTAAAATTATGGAATATTGACTATCACGTGTCCCCTCCAACTCATCATCATGTTGTTGAGTCAATATTACTAACAAAAAGGCTAACATGAAGTTAACGTTTGGTGATTTCACTAATAAATTGTATTTGCTATATTGTATAAGATACTAAATTTGAGTGTTTTCATAAACAAATTTTGACACAAGATCCTCAGCTAAGACTTAATGAGCATTCGCATGAAAACGAGTATTAGAGAAGTTGTCATCGTAAGGGGTACGGTGTGTGTCAAGTTTCACTTGGGATAAGCACAATTTATCAACTAATTAAGTATCTTTATCAAATAATTTGAACTCTTAATAATTGGTTAAGAGTTTGTCCTAGTTCAAGAGTCTTGAATTGTTATATGCAATGCAGTTAAAATCGCGATTCTACCTAGAAGCGGGAAAGGGATAAAATCATAAAGCGTAGAATCAAAGCGTAAAAGCGTAAGTTTTTGAAGCATACTGTAAAATAGCTAAAATATGTTAAGTACGATATATACTATGTAAAATATGAGTGCACGTAATTTAGATAACTTAATATATACTTGCTATTCATGTCTAAAGTAGAGCAATTCATGGCATCTTAACAATAAGCTCATAAACATAGATTTTAACAATAAGCCACCACCCCCTCTATGCTAATGAATTTGGGAACTAGTGAATTAGATTACGTTATTGAAGCTGAGAATGCATGCAAGACCTGGTATGTATGTTTTAATCTCAAATGCATCATATTGTTGGTGATTTACCTTTAAAATATAATTTTTATAATTAATTTCATGTAAAAGAATATCCCTTTAGTAAACTAGAAGCGTAAAGCGTTTTGGTGAATTAGAAGCGTAAAAGTGTAAGCTTTTAATCTTTAAAGCGCAATTTAGTTCGATTTTATACAATAAAGATTTTATATGGAAACGAAAGCAAT